GGCGGGGGGCCGGCGCGGCGGGGGGCGGCGCGGGGGTCTCTGTGCATGGCTGCGCCTCGCGCCGAGCCCGCGCGCGCCCTTCCTTGCCTCGCTGCCCTCCTCACTGCCTGCCTCTGTGTGTCTCTCTCCGCCCTCGCGCCGCCAGGCTGAGGAGAAGATGCAGTCTGAGGTGAGCCCGCGCCCTCCGCTCGCCGCCCGGCCCCGCCGCCGCTGCCCGGCCCCTCTCACTCCCTCTGCTCTTTCCCCGCAGCAAATCCGCAAGCTGCGCCGGGAGCTGGAGTCCTCGCAGGAGAAGGTGGCCACCCTGACGTCCCAGCTGTCGGCCAACGTGAGTCCCCCCGGCCTCGCGGCCGCCTCCTGCCCTGCTCGATGAGGGACGGGCCGCTCTGCAGCACGTGGGGCTCCCTCGGGTGCTCCTTGCTCTGGCCTCGGGGCCCGATGCTGGCAGCAAGTTGTGGAGGACGTCACCTTGCAGAGCCTCCCAGGTGGATCCCATCTCCCTGCCTGCCTTGGCCACACACTGCCCCTGCACAGAGGGTGTTTCTTCTACCAGTTCCTGTCATCTTTTACTTCTGATCTCCACCACCAAGAGAAACCCCCTCTACAGACCCCTGTGTCCCAGGCCAAGTGACTCCGGGGCTCTCAGCAGGGCCACCCAGCAGCGGGTGCTCACCCATCTCTCCGTCTCTCCCAGGCCAACCTGGTAGCGGCTTTCGAGCAGAGCCTGGTGAGCATGACATCCCGCCTGCGGCACCTGGCCGAGACCGCCGAGGAGAAGGTGGGTGCCCTGGGGGCCCTGCGTGGGTGGCGCTGGCAGGGCCGATGTTTCACGTACGGGAGGGCGGTCGTGGGGCTGGGGACGCAGCCGGCTCTGCGCCCCGGGGCGGCCCTGCCTCGGTCTGCACTGGCGGGACGTGCTCCATGGCTCCCGGCTCCACCTCCCCAGGACACAGAGCTGCTGGACTTACGGGAAACCATCGACTTCCTGAAGAAGAAGAATTCGGAGGCGCAAGCCGTCATCCAAGGGGCCCTGAATGGCACCGATGTCACACCCAAAGGTGAGCCCGCAGGGTGCCCCACGCCCCAGAGAATAGGCCCCGTTGTCTTTTAGGGCACCTCTGAGAAGGTGTTTGGGTGGCCCAGAGGGAGCCGGGAACCCTCAGGGAGGAGGAGACGTCACGGTGGTCACCGAGGGGGCTGGGGGCCATACACGGGTTCCTGCAGTGCTGGGGCAGAGGGGCTGACGATTCTGTTCCTCGTCTTTTTGGCTTCTCTCGCTGGCCCCAGAGCTGCGCATCAAGCGGCAGAACTCCTCCGACAGCATCTCCAGCCTCAACAGCATCACCAGCCACTCCAGCATTGGCAGCAGCAAGGACGCCGATGCCAAGAAGAAGAAGAAAAAGAGCTGGGTGGGTTGGAGAAGGTGCTGGCGGTGGTGGTGGTGGTGGGAGCTGCTGGCGGGTCTGGCTGGGCTCAGCCCCCGGGCCGGCCGCTTGCTGTCCATCTTGGTTGGCATCGTGGTGTCGGTCCCCCCTGTTCCCTGGTGAGGAGCACGTAGCCACCGTGGATGTGCGTCGCGATAGAGGTGGTCAGGGCCTTCTCTGGGCCTTCTCCAGCCCCTCCAGGAGGTGTCCAGCCCTGGCCCTGCACGCCTGGTCCCTCGTGGCCTTTCCCATGTGTGTGTCCCACCCCGTGCTGGTGCTGACCAACAGGGATGCCGGGGCCCCGTCCCCACAGACATCTCGGCTCGCCGGCCGCTTCCCCGCAGCCAGGCAGCTCGGAGCTGGACGTGTGATTAAGTCTTTGTTTTGTTTCTCTCCCCCTACGCTGACCTCAACCCTTTTTTTCCAGGTGTACGAGGTAAGTGCTGTGCCGTCCCCTCCACCCCATGCTGTGCCCAGCCACGGACGCTCGCTCCATTTCCAGTGGGACGGCACTCATGCCACTAACCATCCCATCCATCCCACTGGCACTAACCCCCTTCGCATGGGCCACCGCAGTGCCCCGCGATGCCTCGTTCACTTTGTGGAGCAACAAGGCCAAAATAGGGTGGGCTGCGCCGGGGCAGCGCTGCTTCGCGCAGAGCGCTCACTGCAACAGGACGGCGGCCTCCAAAATGGACCAAGGGCCACGGTTTTGGAGAGGGAGCCTGAGGGCTGCAGACGTGTCCCGCATCCTTCTTAACCTTGGTGCGTTCGGATGCTGCAGCTCCTCAGGTCCACAGGACCACAGCGCAGAGCAGCACGGCCTCGGCCTCCTGAGCCTTGCGGGAGCCTGGGATGCTCTGTTGTGTCCTCAGAGCCACCGACTGGTGTGGAGTTGCTCTGTCCCTGTCGGGACCTTGCCGTTCAGCCCTCAAGCAAAGCTTGACACCCACCTTGTTCTTCACGTTGCAGTGCAGCATTTTTTCTTCTCAAGGGGACATCTGGGCAGGTGTGCCCAGTGCCTCCTAGGAGATGGGCTGGATCCTGCCCACTCCCGGGCCAGTTTTCCTCCCACCTGCCCTTGGAGCAGGCCCTGGTCCTGCAGGGCACGTGCCGTGAGCCCGGGGTGTCCGTCCTGCTCCTGTCCCCGAGGCCGCTGCCGTGGTTTGGCCCCTGCGCAGCGTCCGTGCGTCCTCCCCGGCCTCCGCTCCCGTGTCCGTGGCTGTGTGTGCCGTGCGCAGTTGCATGCTGCATGCCCGCCCGCGCGCCCTCCACCAGGACCCCGCGCAGGAGAAGGGGGGATAGGGCTGGAATTGTCCCCTGGCACCTGGACCCAGGCTCTGCGGTGCCCGGGGCACCTTGTGGCACGTTCTCCCCCAAAGTGCTGCTCACTGGGGCAGTGGCCGTGGGGGGAACCTGAGATTGGAGCCGGCCCTGCCTTGTGGACCGAGGCACCGTGGCCGTCCCCAAACACCCAGAATGTGGGTGCTGGGGAAGTTCCACAGGGACTTAGGTGCCATCCAGGCCGGGGGTGGTGCTGAGGGTTGTGTGAAGGGGCACAGGCGCCCGGGTGTCAACAGAGCAGGGTGGCCGGGTGGCAGGGCCTGCCCCTGCCTCGGTGATGGCTGTGGCACCGCTGGGCTCGGGTCGAACTGTCTGTTGGTGCTGAGTGAGCAGATGAGGACGCACTCCGGCCTCGGGGCAAGACGGGGCCGTGCCAGAGCTGTGGTCAGCCGGGTTGGCTGTTCCTGACGCAGGGCTTTCCGTCTCCCGTAGTTGCGGAGCTCCTTCAACAAGGCCTTCAGCATCAAGAAGGGGCCCAAGTCGGCCTCGTCCTACTCGGACATCGAGGAGATCGCCACGCCGGACTCCTCGGCCCCGTCCTCGCCCAAGCTGCAGCACGGCTCCACGGAGACCGCCTCGCCCTCCATCAAATCCTCCACGTCCTCCTCCGTGGGCATCGACACGGCTGAGTACGTGCGGCCGGGGCAGGCAGCCTGGAGCAGGGATGGCTGGTCCCTGTGTCCTGCTCCGCTCTGCAGGTGTCTGCCCCGGGTTTGAGCAAGCTCTGGTGTCTCCCCTGGCACAGGCTCTTCCAGGCCCACAGCGAGGGCGAGCCAGAGAAGAAGGAGGTCTCAGAGCTGCGGTCGGAGCTGTGGGAGAAGGAGATGAAGCTGACGGACATCCGCCTGGAGGCCCTGAACTCAGCCCATCAGCTGGAGCAGCTGCGGGAGACCATGCACAACATGCAGGTGAGGGCTGGGGCCACCACCAGACCTTGGTCTTGTGGCCCGCAGCCTGGGCTGGGGACGGGGACCTCAGAGCTGAGAGCCCAGCTCCTTGGTGCCCATGGTGTGTGGGTCCCGTGTGCTGCCAACATCCAGTCCTCCTCTCCGGGCTGTAACCCATTTCCCCTGCAGCTGGAAGTGGATCTCCTGAAGGCCGAGAACGACCGGCTCAAGGTGGCTCCGGGGCCCTCGTCGGTGCCAGGCTCCATCGCCGGCCACGTCACGAGCACGTCGGCATCCTCGTCACCGCGGCGCTCGCTGGGCCTTGCGCTCGGCCATGCCTTCAGCGCCAGCCTGGCGGATGCAGGTGGGGACGGCGGAGCCGCCGCCGGGAGGGGAGGCCGGGGGCACGGCCCGCGCGGGGCCGCTGCTGTGGGACAACCCCTTCTGTGCGGGGCCATGCAGAGGGTGTCTCCCAGCACAGCGTGGCCAAGCCCTCGCGAGGAGGCGCGTGGTGGAACGGGCTCCTGTCAGGCCCTGTGGCCCGGCTCGCACGGCCTGACCCTTCTGTGTCCCCAGACGTGTCCCCTATGGATGCCGTTAGCGCTGGCACCCAGAAGGACGAGCTGACGCTGAGGATCGTGGTGCGCATGCCGCCCCAGCACATCATCAAGGGGGTAAGTGCAGGCTGGAGGGGGGGCCTGACCTGCCCTGGAGCTGTGTCCCCCCACACGAGGGGCAGAGGACAGTTGTCCCGTGCTCCAGCTCCGTACACCTCTGCCTTGGCCCTTAGGACCTCAAGCAGCAGGAGTTTTTCCTGGGCTGGACCAAGGTGAGCGGAAAGATTGACTGGAAGATGCTGGATGAGGCTGTCTGCCAGGTCTTCAAGGTGAGAGCTCAAGGGCCTCTCCGACCCCTGCTCCTTCCACCTTCTCCCCTGTGCCCGGCACTGCACAGCCCGGTGCCTTTCTGGGGCCTCCTGGAGGTGCTCAGCACCTTTTAGTCTTCCGCTGGCAGGGCCTGAGTGTGCTGACGGTCCTGCCCTTTTCTGCATAGGATTATATCACCAAAATGGATCCTGCTTCCACCCTGGGGCTCAGCACCGAGTCCGTCTACGGTTACAGCATCAGCCACATCAAGCGGGTCCTGGACACGGAGCCGCCGGAGCTGCCGCTGTGCCGCCGGGGCCTGACCAGCATCGCCGTGACACTCAAAGGTCCGTGTGGCAGAGAGGGCTCCATCCATCCACCGAAGGGCTCCCTCCTCCGCGGTCCTGCTGCGCTGTGCGGGGAGAGCGGGGCCGTCAGCCCTTCTCTGCCTGCAGGCTTGAAGGAGAAGTGCGTGGACAGCCTGGTGTTCGAGACGCTCATCCCCAAGCCCATGATGCAGCACTACATCAGCCTCCTGCTCAAGCACCGGCGGCTCATCCTCTCGGGCCCCAGCGGCACCGGCAAGACCTACCTGACCAACCGCCTGGCCGAGTACCTGGTGGAGCGCTCGGGCCGGGACGTCACCGAGGGCATCGTGAGCACCTTCAACATGCACCAGCAGTCCTGCAAGGTGAGGGCACGCGGGAGCCAGGGCGCTTTCCGTTGGCGCCGGTGCCCCGACTTGGCCCCACACGTGACGCCTGGCCCCCTTGTTGCAGGACCTGCAGCTGTACCTCTCCAACCTGGCGAACCAGATCGACCGGGAGACGGGCACGGCGGACGTGCCGCTCGTCATCCTCCTGGACGACCTCAGCGAGGCGGGCTCCATCAGCGAGCTCGTCAACGGCGCGCTCACCTGCAAGTACCACAAATGGTGAGTGCCCAGCGGGACCTGCCGCAGCTCTGCGCGCGCTCCCGCTGGGCTTGGAGAGATGGGGCTGCAGGGTCACATGCGCCCACTGTGCCCGGAGCAACTGCCATGGGTGGCCCTGGGGCTCTGCTGGGCGTGGGGACAGCCCAGGGTGCTCCTTCTCATGGATCCTGTCTTGCTCTCTCTCAGTCCCTACGTCATCGGTACCACCAACCAGCCTGTGAAGATGACCCCGAACCACGGCCTCCACCTCAGCTTCAGGTGTGGATCCGACCTCTCCAGTGCGGATGTGGAGCATCCGCGTGGGGTTGGGAGCCCAGGGGCCACCACTCCTGCCCCTAGGGCAGCCCTGGACCCGTTCCCTGCATAGGGGGAGATCCAGCCCTGAGTGACCGTCTCGTCCCTGCAGGATGCTGACCTTCTCCAACAACGTGGAGCCGGCCAACGGCTTCCTGGTGCGCTACTTGCGGCGGAAGCTGCTTGAGTCGGACACGGACGTCAACGCCAACAAGGAGGAGCTGCTGCGCGTGCTGGACTGGGTGCCCAAGCTCTGGTACCACTTGCACACCTTCCTGGAGAAACACAGCACTTCCGACTTCCTCATCGGTATGGCGCGGCCCCGTGCCGCCCGCCTCTGCGCCGCGGGGGCCGTGGGGCAAGGGGGAGACTCCCCAGAGGAGACGGGGGAGCCGCCGTGCTGCCCCGCGCGTTCCTGCCCCCAGTCGCTGAGACACCACCCTGTCCCATGGGACCCGTCGCTGTGGTGGTGGCCAGAGTTGTCTCCGTTTTTGACAATGTTGGCCTCAGAGAAGCTGGATTTTCCCAGGCCGTTTTCCTTCTGCCTAACCACGCTCTTGGGGGCATAGATGGGTATTGGGAGCCCCGTTGTTTGCTAGGGCGTCACTTTCTACTCCCACGCTTTGGGCAGATCCTGTGCTGGGGGCTGCCCCCAGGACACGGTCGAGGCCAAGGTGCCCTCCACAGCCCCGAACCTGGCAGCAAGGCTGGGCTGCCCCAACGCAGGGGCCGCCCCAAGGCTGGGTCCTACTGGGGGTGGACTCAGGGACACCAGGGTCCCCATCTTTGCTCTCTGCCTTCTCCCTCTGTAGGTCCCTGCTTCTTCCTGTCCTGCCCCATTGGAATTGAGGATTTCCGGACCTGGTTCATCGACCTGTGGAATAACTCGATCATCCCCTACCTGCAGGAAGGGGCGAAAGATGGGCTCAAGGTACCTGGAAGAGCTCAAGGGGGAGCATAACCCTAGACCCAGCTCCAAGGGGACGTGCTGGTGTAGCAGGCCGAGCAGATGGGAAGAGGGAAGGTGCTGGACCGTGGGTGCCGATGGCTTCTGTGTCACTCCCTGTCCCGCTCCTGCAGTGGGCGGTAGCGCCGCTTGCCCAGGACGCAGTGACACGGAGCTCCAGCCCGTGGTCATGAACGTGGCTGCCTCTTGTTCCTCGCTTGCAGGTCCATGGGCAGAAGGCAGCCTGGGAGGATCCCGTGGAGTGGGTGCGGGACACCCTGCCCTGGCCGTCGGCGCAGCAGGACCAGTCCAAGCTCTACCACCTGCCCCCACCCACCGTGGGGCCCCACAGCACCGTGTCCCCCGCTGAGGAGCGCACCGTGAAGGACACGACGCCCAGCTCCCTGGACGCAGACCCTCTGGTACGGCCGTGCCCGGCTGTCCTGGGCACTGCGGGGCGGGTGGCGGTGGGTGCAAGGAGGGAGCGGGATCAAACCATGCTCAATGGCTGCTCTTTTTGTTTAAGAAGCTGGATATAGGGATGCAGAAACCCGGGGCGGGAGCGGTGATGCAGGGTGGTGGCAGTGGTGGCACTGTGCCGTGTTGTGACGAGCACGGGCTCGGCGTGGGCGCCACCGGCACTGCCCACGTCCCGCGTGGCGTTGCGTGCCCGCGTGCGCTCACCGGGGCCGCTGCATGGCTGCGTCCCTGCGCGGCACCCACAGAGAGGCGGGGGGGGGGGGCCGCGGCGC